ATACATATATAATATCCCATATATATATATATATCCCACTCATATACGTGGGCCTAAAACAAACACACACAGACTCACATGCAGACGCACACTTAAACAGACATACACATGCACAGGCATACACACAAACACACATATACACACACATATTTGCACACTCAAACGTACAAACTCACTCACACACACAGACACATACATACACTCTCTTTCACGCAGAGAGAGAGAGAGAGAGAGAGAGAGAGAGAGAGAGAGAGAGAGAGAGAGAGAAACAAGAAGCCAAAATAAACAATATAAAACATAGACAAACAAAACCATTAAAATCGCTTTCTAAATCGTAATCGAGCTCTATTGACCTAGAGGCAAATAAAAATCAAAGATTTCGACTTTGAAACGAAATAATCCACTTCTACTTTGGCCAAACACAACTATCAATGGACTGGGAGATCTAGTTCCTTTATATTAGCTCAGCAACTTGACAGAAAGGTACCCTTTTAAAATCCACCCTGCTGAAACTTAAGACGAACCAAAGCGTTTGCGTTTCATTTCTTTTCAGGGTACCCTTTCTGATCGATTAGAAAAAGATTTTTAAAAAAACCTTATTTGAAATGTGTTGGTTGTGTGAACTCTTTGTGACGTAGCAGACACATTTTTACGTGTCACGACATGGTGGAATCAAGCGCTCGTCAATTTTTGGACTTGTGGAGTTATTGGTATTCTTTTCTAGCTTGTTTATTTGTCTTGCTTTCAATGGAAAAAAATACTCATATATCGTCAACAGAAGTCGAGATATTTGCGAATGAAGGAAGTGGGGGGTCGCCTGATTTCATAGGTAAAATATGCGACAAAAATAGCCGCTAAAGTTTGGCGATTTCCAAAGCTTGAGAGTCCTTTAAAACTGCAAATATACATTTGTGCGCCTTAAATCAACATAAAAAACGACTAAACTCTACTACAAAAATATGTCTTACCTGGACTTTAAAGATGTTGAGTAAGAAAAAACAAAACTTTGAAATAAATTGGCAAAAAGACAAAAGTTCCAGTTTCTTCGATATCACAATTTTGACGAGCGCCTGATTTCACCACGATGCCTCACATATTTCGTACAATCAGCAGCAGACCTGAGGCAATGTTGCGGCACATGGAACCATCACACTTACAATAGAAACACGATGTTGCATATTTTATAGTACGCCTGTTGCCGCCTTCCTTTTTAACGTAACGGACAAAGGAAACAAATTGTTTTTGAAAAAAGAAAAAAAAGAAGAAAAATATTTGAATGAATGACAAAGTTAGGTTTATTTTTTCAAAGTGACTAAAAAACAAACAAACAAAGAAAACAACAACAACATCAACATCGTCGACAACAAAAAAACAAAAAAACCCCAAAAAAAACAACATAATAACAACACCAACAACAACCCAGCGCTTCTTCAAGCATTGTTGAATAACCAGACGGCGTATCCCCAGTGAGCTAATCAGAGTCTATACACATTTCCTTTGACGCTGTCCTCCTTTTTAAAAAACTGATCAGGTCTCGTATAGGTTCTGCTTCTTGTTGGAGGAGACATGAAACGCCTACGTTAAATGGAAAAAAATATGCTGGAGGACGTATACAAAGCACCAAGGAATACGAAAAGGAATGGGAAAACTGTTCACTAAAAATTGTATCAGGGTCACTGTAAACCTTCACTGGTTGTATCCTTTTAATCCATTATCAATTGTTTCGCTGGACCAGACATTCCAATTCGGGCGACCATAAAGTCTTACTCTTTAATTCCTCGTACACGGCAAAGGTATGTTTCTTGCATTTGCTTTCAGATTGACAAATAGCCCTGGTATAAAAAGCCAATACAAAATTGGTTGAAAGCGATCCGCAGCGAAGGCTATAACATGCAATTCAAAGTGCACATCGTTCCCCGTATTTCCTTTTCTGATTTCCTCAAAGCAGACAAACAAAACACGAAAATAAAAATAGGAACCGAAATCTAAGCTACCCAATCAAGCGCACAATTCTTTTAGTTATATTGTTTTTCTGACAAAACATCCGATTTCCAGTATCGACAACGAAAATTACCTCCCTCCAAAAAACGAAACAAACAAACAAACAAACAAGCAAGCAAGCATAAAAGCAAGAAAGCAAGCAAACAAGCAAGCAGACAAACAAACAAACAAACTAACAAACAAACAAACTACAACTCATTGGAAACTAACAACCTCCAGCCCCCCCCCGGAAAAAAGGAAACAACCAACACACCAACATCTGCTAAAAACATAACAAAACAGTAACAACAACAACAAACAACCATGACAACCAAATCATAGAGCGAAGCCAATCAGGTTAAAAAAACCCCCAAAACAAAACAGAAAACCCCCCACCGTCCGTCATGACAATGTTAAGGGATCAAGATTTGTTGACATAGCAAAGTTTCTCTGTTGATGCAATTATCACCACTGTTATGGGCGTGTCGTCTGTGTGTGCCAACGTAGTCATTGTTTAGGT